TTGATACCGGAAGGCACCATGTAGAGTAGCCCCGCTGCAAAGGTCTGTGCGCGCTCAGCACCTCCATGCCAGTTTATCTTGCATGTAGGACGCGCGACACCGACTTCTCTGTCTGAATCTTCATTCTTCATTCCAACAATTCAGTTACACCCATACCATGCCATCCCTCTGGTGCCTCCTGCATCAGTCGTCCTCTTGACCATTGGTGAAGTTGAACGAAGTGGGGGCAGTGGGGGCAGTGGCGCTGGTAGCTATGCCAGAGAGTAGGTTTGGGGCAGCCTCATAGGTCCGCGGTCGGAACTGGTAGGCCTCCTTGGCCTTCGCCAGAACCTTCGTCTTCTCGGGGCATTCTTTCGACCAGGCTGGGTGCCTCCCTCCACAGACCGGGCACCGGAGAGGGACTTCGTTACTTTGGGTTGGGCACTGGGCTTCTCCGTCCCTTCCGCCCTCACCGTGGGCCTTCGTTCCACACCTGGGGCACAGCGGTGTTGATCTGCAATAGTGTTGCGTGTGGCCCCATTTCCAGCATTTGAAGCACTGTACCGGACTTAGAGCAGCCCAGTACGGTTCGCAGTCCAGCAGCTGGGCCCTCCAAACCACTCCCTCAACGCAGGCCTTGCGGGCCTCCTCCTGAGAGGTGAGTGCCACCAGCACCGTCGCCCGGGTTGCTTCCTGGTGCTTCGGTACCCTGAATTTGACCTTGTCGACTGTTTGAAGGCCACTTTCCCTGCCAAATGTCTCCTCGGTCACTCCCTGGAGGTCACGCTTCCATAGCCCCTTCAGCAGGACCGCGAAGGTTCTCTTGTTCTCCTCTGCTTGCTGTCCAAAGGCTTCCTTGATCCATTCGGTGTTGGTTGAGTGCCAGTCTCTAGTTGTCGTGCCTTGGAAGGTAACAATTGTATCCCCGCTTGGGAGGGTCCGGGCTGCGATTGCCCCCTTCTTCATCGACGCTCGGTTGACAGCCTGGACGATCTCCTGTGGGGTCCGTTTGGCCATATCGGCTGGCATTCCTCTGCCTCTGACAAGAATTTCCTTGTTGATGCGGGCTGGCACTGTCTTTGCTGGGGCAGTGGTCTGCGTCTGGGTTTGGCTGGATTCCTGGGAGGCCACTGCGGCCCAGGATCTTCTATCCTGGGGTGCGGTGGCGGCCGCCCTAAGTTCTTCGGCTACCACTTTGCGGAGGTTGGCCAGTGAAATGGTTCCTGTTTGGTTCTGGGCCGCATTGTATAGCTTGCAAACAGCTGCGAGGAGGTCTTGCCCCATGCCGCTGGCGGTCCCTTTCTTCTCTGGGTTTGCCAGTGCTACCAATCCGTCGATCATGTTCTTGATAGCGTCGATGTCAGAGGGTGGGGGGGAACGAGGAGGTGTCGGGGGGCCGCTTGAGTGCCGTGACTGGGCCGGTCCTCCTTCTCTCCCTTCAGTTGGAGGGGTGGGGGCGGTCATCCTGTCCCATGCAAGGGCTCGAGGGCTCAGGGGTTCAGGGGCTCAGGAGCACTAGGGCGTGGTCACCTGGGCAACTGTGGGTGGGAGTCAGGTGACCTGTTGGTCCGTGCGCTGGTGAGAGTTTTTCGGGATGTCTGCAGCACCTCGAATCGCCCTACTTTCCACACCCACCGCGGCCACGCAGCAAAGTGCGCGGGCGTGCAGTCGGCGTAGTTAGATAAGGTTTTTTCGGAGCTTTTGAACGGTGCCGGTTTTGAAGACTTTACGCAAGTCATAGATAGGATATAACGATGAGGGTGTTCAGATAATTACATCACTGCCTTAACGCCTTCATTTTTCTTTGGTAGGACCAATTGACGCCTTTTCTGCAATTTCAGAACCGCACATGTTATTGCGTCAATATGCAAGTAGTGACATGTACTTTTCGTACGTTTTAGGGAATGTGACGGTGGCAATGGTATACCAAGACCAACAGCGCCTGAGTGGATGTCAACCATGGATCCCCAAACGTCCAGCGCTGTCTTTGGTAAATCGCAAGCAACGTCTTTATGCTGTTGTACAATGTACTCAGGCCACAGATATATCTCACAAGGCGTCCTTTCGGCCATGATGTTAACTGCCTATATCTTCCGTGCCGAAGGTATCAATCAGTACACGGCATCTTCCCGTCATCCATCCACGTTCACCTAGCGATCTCGGGCGCCTAGTCCTCACCACCCATCTCGACATGCCCGTCCACCCCCTTTTCTATCGCAGCAGTTGGGGCCCGCTCCCTCTTTTTGCTGAAATACCGGTTCTCTTTGATTCACTTTGTCAGCTCTGCGAGTAACCCTGCCGTCTTAAGCACGGTGATCCTGCAGGTTTTTCCCACCGAGAATACCAACCTAGGTCCGGAACTGCTCCATTACAGACTCGGAGCTCGAAATTTGCTGCTTACCGGTGAGAGCAGCATCAGCACCCCCAGCTCCTCTTAGATAACCTTTTGGAGGCTGCATGGTATAGGGCTGGAAGAGTGTCCTAGACGAGATTGATGATTCTGTCAAGGACCAGGTCTGCGGGTCTTACTACACGTCCCAATTCTCATAATTCACAGCCGGCCGTGCATCGAGCGCTGACGAATCTGCCGCCCGCCGACGGCCTTGATGCGAGTTCTGCCGAGGGAGGGCCTCATGCTGAACGGTTCGCTTGCTCAGTCCAAGATGTATGTTCAGCTTCTTCATTTGCTACGAATCATGCCACTATGGATTTGAGAGACCAAATACGACCTAGAGGACCTACGGAACGAGTGCATGGCCATGATCAGGCAACCCAACCCTGAACTCAGTCAACAGTCATCCCTTTGGCGATGGGCTTATCTCGTCCGCCAGAACTGGGATGAAGTGCTAGGTCACTTTGCCTCCTGGGAAACAAATTCCAGCAACGCATTGACGCCAAGACAGGCGGCATTAGGGGCCTGCAGAATTCGGTAGGTAGAACAACCTGCGTAGGATGGAGGGCATCCTGACTTAATCGTACGTGATTACACAGGCTGTCAACGCCAGTAGTCTCCTGGAGGCACACAAGTCGACGTCAATGAATCGGTGCATCATCATCTACACTACCCTCACTGTCTTCTATCTCCCACTGGATTTTGTCACGGTACGTTTTGCGATCAAGTCCAACCGACCTCGTGAATACAAGAGGACGTTGCTAACACCCTCAGACCGTCTTCAGCATGGATTATCTGCATAATGAGAAACTTGTCGGCTTGAAGATTCAGTGCGCTGGGATCATGGTTGTTATTGTAGTGGCTACCTTACTTACCTTGCGGCTGTAGCCTGATCGCGCTCGGGGACCCAAGGCTCACGGTGCGCGTTAAGGCGAGACTCAAGTCGTGCCTCATTGAGCGTCTCTCCCGTGTCCTCTCCATTTCTGCTTCCGAGAAATAAACTTCAGCCATCCGACAAGCCAGTTGAAACCGGGGACATGTAGACACAATGGAATATTCACGGGCAGTCGGGGCCCTTGGATAAAGGGTTTTGGCTGCACCTTCTCCGAATTCATGCCAGAGGCGGAAAAGGAAAAAAAGGAAGGCCGTTGCTGTCGAAAACCGCGGGGAAAGCACGGCGCCGCAATCATGATATGGTACCTAGCCCTAAATATTGAATTGAAGCTCGTAAGCTTCTCCAGGCTCCACGATACTTGTACAAGAACCTCCGTTACTGCTCCGAGCCTTTCCCCAAACTAAACCAGATGCAGCACTACCTGATCAGGCAACGATCCGACGCAAGCTTTGTCGTAGTACATCATCCCCTGAACATAACACTCCCCAATGAGCTTGTAGCGCCACGGCTTATCCCGATCTTTCCGTACCACGAACGGAATGGTAGGACGACCCGAGGAATCTCTCCACATTTGACTCGCCCTCCCAACGAGGAGCCGCAATTGACGTTCGCACTCCTGGATGCTCTGGACAAAATGGTCCCACTCAATCTCGGAATGTCCGCACGCTACAGTGACTCGCGAGCCAAGCACCAGCTCCTGGACGATCCAAGTTCGGCCAAACCACTTCCTTCGCAGCAAGGCATTGATACGGCCGACCTCGTCGTCGGTAACGAGCTCGCGACCGTCCATATACCGCCCGTCCGCGCTCATCTGCAGCATCTTCAGTGCCTCGATGGCACCAGTGTCACTGGGCATGGGGTCGCCCAGCCACACAATCACCCTCGTGGCCCACTCGTAGAGCATTCCCATCCGACGGGCCTGCTGGGCCTGCTCGACCTTGTCGTCCTGATTTATGCACACGGCATCCGCCCAGATGAGCGCTGTCACACGATTCCGTCGTAAGGCTTGGAGGCACGTAAACAGCGACTCCGTAATCAGGATCTCGACCCCGTTGACCTTCAGCTTGAGAGGGTGGTGCATCGTCGGACGGGCACCCCAGACGTACGAGATGGCCCAGAACTCCAGAGATTCCTCCAGTTCCTTCGGCACTAGCTTAGCCTGGAGCATTGCCGTCTCCTCCTCTGCGTATTCGAGTTGAAGGAGTCGGATTTTCGATGCAGTGATCGGAGCGCTGATGTAGATATGCTGCGTTTCGGGCTGCTCCGGCGTCTTGTGGCGGCTGAGCTGCCTCGGGTCAACTTGCGCCATAGCCTGGGCGCCGGTGACATTGGCAACAAAGCTGCCCGTGGGTTTCAACTGCAGCCTTCAGGTGAAGACTCCAAGGATTGGCATAGAAGGCAATTCCAGGGCTGGTGTACACGTTATAAACCCGGGCGAGGACGTAGATATCGCCTGCTGGATGGTCCGTTGTTGTCCGAAACGCCAGTGTCATGGCGGTCGCCGTTTCGTATTGCTTCCGTGACAGGTCAAAGGTTCGGTCCAACCCGTCCTTGGTGGCGATGACTTGGATGTGGAAGGTGTATGGATGAGCGACCGCCGTCTCGGAGAGGTGATATTCGGAAATATTCATGGCTCGGAGCTTGCCTCGCCTGCCGGCACGGTGAAGGTTGAGTAGTGGGACGCATATCGATCCGGCGGGGTGAAGGCTGGCAGATTGTTCCGCAGCCGAAGTGGGCTTGTTCAATGCTTTGCTGGGACATATTCATCCTCTAGAGTGCGCCGCAGGTATGAGGACGTCTGTTTGTACATTGCTGTCAGCCGCAGATGTCAAGGTTGTCCAAACTTCATGTGGGTTCATGCTCAAAACTGCGCGAAAGCGGCCAGAAAACCCTTAAGCTCTTCGCCAAGGGGTCATGTCAAGGTTTGGCTCGCGAGCTCATGCAGATAATTAGTCCGAACTTGACGAGTGCTTACGTAGAGCTCTCCAAAATACCTTGTGTTCTGAGGGTCCTCGCCACCGCCGACGTGGGTCATCACGTGCGGACTGTAGATCGTGGAGCTTACGTTCCTCAGGTCAACGAAACTCTCGGCGTGGCCTGGGTTCTTTTTGTACGGGGTCACGGTTTGCACCCGGTCTTCGGTCGCGGCGTCGTCAAAATCAAAGGAATCCGCGATCAACTTCCATGGTCCTGTCTCTTCTTTCGTTGCTGCGGCGCTGCCTCTCCCGGGACTCATCGAGCGGGGCCGCACGCCAGGATGAGGAACGGAAAGCTTGCTTCGCGACCTGTTGTTCACAGATATATCGTCTTTGGCATTCGGTTTGCGTGGAGCACGCTTAAGCTCAAGGACTTCTCGAAAGAGGCGACGCCGGTCACTCCATCCGTTCTGTTGTTAGTAGATTTGGCCGGACCGGGCGCGAGGTCCTTGTCGGTGCCATGAGTCGTAACTGAGATGTTGATCTTGCCGGGCAGGGTCTGCGCTGAGTCTGTTAGCTTAGTTGAAGCATCCGCGTTGTCGATATCAATCCTGATAGGTGGTGATGCCGGAGCCATACGTTGCTGGCGTGTTTCTCCAGTCCTGTTTTCCTGTTCCTGTTCCTCGACATGGTCGTCAACCCCGTCAACCCCAACTGGTACTGGTTGCGACGCTGTCTTCTCGGGCCCTTCAGAATCCAAGTGCGGTGGCCCAGTTATCCTCTCCTTGTTAAGTCGTGAGAGGGGATTTGCTGTCGTGGGTATCAGGTGTTCAGAGGGGGTTACTTGCTCAGCTGGGCTGGGTGCTTCGCTCTGGGCTCCGCCTGTGGCCTCCTAGATCACAGGGGCGATGTGCTGTGTGGATCCAACGCCCTTGTCTCCAATGTCACCCTCGGCCTCCTCCTGACGCTTTGTTTCGTGTACTTTCAGAGTACCTGACCACTGTTGTTAGTGTCTGTGTACAAGTACATACCCTCAAACAAGCCATCTGAGGTGTTCGTGTACTGAAGCTGGTCGGCCGTGAAACTTACCGGCTGTTCGGCGGGGCGCCGAAGGAATCCGCCCCTTCCGGGTTTCGAGCTCCTTCTTGATGAGAAGGTTATCATGCACGTAGAGAATGTTTGTAAGCAACTCCCTGTCATTTTCGGATCTTACAGGCATGCAAAGAAGCTCAGCCAAGACCTCGATGAGCGCCACGGGCGGGTATCCCAACTCCAGAGCATGGGCATCGGCAACGAGGTACAGCTCCAAGATCCCACTCTCGGTGACTTGGGTGTACGTATCGCTCATGATAGGCGCGCCAAGGACTTCACAGCCATCGACATCAAAAATCAGCCTCGTGTCGATACGATCTGAAGCGTAAGCCCGAGCATGGGCGAGCAACTCTTTCTTGATCTGAATCGTCTCCCTGCTTAGTGTGTTCGGGATAAGCTCGGAGATGTATGGTGCCTTATCCCGCAATCTTCTTTCGTAAGATGGATGTTGCTGGGCGCTGCCCACCTCTGAGGCCTTTCCCTTCTGTAACTTGGACACAAAATGGGATCCTAGATCCAGGCGTTCTCGCAACGTCCGCAACGCGTTAGCGCTGAACTCCTCTGAGGAAAGAACAGACATATCGACCACTCCCAGAAGAGAATCTCGATGTAGTTGGGACTTGGGGATGCAGCAGATCCTGTCTCTGGACGTTCGTAACACGGTCCCTGCTTCTTGCTGGTCGCCGATGGCCGGGATCACGGGGAACAAGGCACAACTCGACAAGTCTGGAACCGAACCGGAGCCTGTCTGAGGACGTCCCAGATATCTTGAGATGGTTGAGAGGACCGAGACGATGTGATTTGTATCGGATGGCACCATGTGGAGGGCTTCCTCGTGTAGAGTGACGAGGTCTGCCAGAGGCATGCCGAAGATGGAGTGAAAGAGCATCTGCCGACTTCCGTAAAGATCCTTAACCCGCGGGACGTGTCTCAGACACTCGGGTCCGTCCCAAACACAGGTCCCGTTCCCTACCCACTCACCAACGGATCTCCCTGACCCTGGCGGCAGGGAAATGGATTTGTCTTCTCGGAACAGCTTCCTGATCACGGAGCAGCTGTTAGGCCGGGCACAAATGCAAGGCACGCAGGGTGTTGAGGGATCAAGACATGGCCATCCTTACCGTATTTTCTCAGTCAAATCGGCCTTTTGCTCCATGTTAATCTTGGAGCTTTTTCCGTCACCTGGAACCCCGTTCACACATTTTTCAAGCTGCTCATACAGCCCGCTTATCTGTTTGTGGGTGACCCTGGATCCCCTCAAGCGTCGAAAGTGTGCCATGAACATCAGCGGGGCCGGCTTGACCACCACACCAAACTTCTCCAGGAAATCCCACTCGCCGTCCTCAGGACGCGCTATGTTTAGCAGTCGGTCGTGCGGGATGGGCCCTGTCGACCGTTTCTTGGGAAACGAGATGACGGATTTGAAAAAGCGACAGATGCGGCACCCTAAGCTTGAGGGTTCGCATTCCGGAAGACCCGGCGCGGTGCCGCTGCTCGTCGTGTCCACGAGCGCGAGGAGGCTCTCTCGCGGAAGGGCCTTCTCAGAGAGTTTGGCAGCGTCGTTGCCGTGGCACGGGACCTGTGTTCGGCGAATTGCTTGGATCAGGGGCTCGCGCCGCTCCAACACCTGACGGGCTGGGTGTTGCTTTTCGTGGTGCGCTGTACCAGTTTCGGTTTCGAACCAAGGGGAATAGTCAGCCCAGTGGAACCGCAACAGGCCGAGGGCTTCGAAAGGCTTCCTGTCTAGTAGAAGCTTGAAATCAACGTGAATGCTGGTGCCCCAGAAGCCGCCTGTCTGCGCCAGGCGGATGAGCTTGGCAATTCCGAGACTGTTCTCAAGCCAATCCAGACCGTCTGGCTCAAGCTTTTGGAAAGTGTCAATGTATCGGCGGTGGATGAACCGCAGTGAAATTTCGGTACGCCGGGCAATTGAGCTGGCCGAGTAGGGATCTTGTGTGGACGGAATGTAAACGGTCGAAAGCCTGTATTTTTCGCCGTCGTCTCCAACGCACCACAAAGCCGGCGGCGCGTCCTCCTTGCGCGGCCTCCAGTCGGCGCGATAGAGAAAGACAAAGTGGGACACCATCTCCTGACAGTTAGCTCTGGGTTCGGAGGCCCCACGTGGGATTTGATTACGAAGTTGCACAGCTCGGTCTTGTCGGCGTCCACGGCGCCCAGTTCCCTGAAGAGCTCGACTCGGTGTGAACTCTGACGCTCTGGCAATTTGATCGCGTGGGCCGGAATGCCGGCCGGTAACTGCAAGTCGCCGGTATTGGTCGAAGGGAAATAGAGGTCCGTTCCCTTGGCAGCCATCCATTTACCGTCTGTGAGCGGGACCAGGGCGAGGTTGGCGATAATGTCTTTGCGGGAGTTGTCTGCGTTGAGCAGACGCAGTAGGACGGCGCAGATTTGGTCGGGCCACCTGGCAGGCTTCCTCTGGAAGCTTTCCTGGGAACCTAAGATGAAAGCTTCAAGATCCGAAAGAATCTCATCATCGGTCATGTTTTGCACTCCCAGTCACTTTATGCATCGGCTCAAGTGCCGCCGAGTAGTATCGGGAAATCAAACGACGGCTCGAGTACTCCTCTGGCAGCAGCGGTGTCTTGTCCTCGTCCCGAAATGTCTCCGGGACTGTCCTCAGCAGCTGTGGTGGGAACCGAGCACCGCTGCTGTCTTCCAGAATCGGTCGCTGGGAGCAGAGATACCTCAGCCTAAGAGGAAACGCCTCAAATGCCTCATCGTACACGATCGGCCAAGGCACCAGGAACGGCCAGTTGTACCAAAGGGTAGCAAGGCCGCGGTCGTGGAACTGCGCAACGGCGCCCAGAAAAGCTTCAGGAACAGCCTCCAACAAGGTTCGGTTCCACCGGGTTCGTCTGATATCCTTGCGGGTTGAAGTGAGGATAAAGTTAGCGTGTATGAAGAACTGGCGGTGGTTAGCCAAATCCATAGCAGCGATAAATCTTAGAAGGGTCGAGGCCTGACACACCCTAAACACTGACGGTCGGACGGGAAGAAAGGCATAGAGATGCCTTGGTGACATCTCCTCATACGAAACGTCTCCAAAGGTGAAGACAAGGACAACTTCTTCGGATCCGGTAGAGTTGGGCCGTTCGGGTGTTTGTGCCTTGGTCATGTCCACGGGATACCTGAAGGCCACTTGCAGTTCAGCCTGGCCATTTCGATAAGTAGCCAGGGGCAGGAGTGTTAAGCTGACGTTTGGTATAGTATCTGCCCTGATGGTTGTCTGCCAGAGCGTCGGCTTGGTGATGATTCTGATGCCGATCTCCTTGATCTGGTCGAGAAACAAGAGGTGGGCCGGCTCTAATGTCTTCAAGGTACGGATGACGGTTTTGTCCCGTCGATGACATTGCCATCCTTGCTGTCGCTCTCGATCTCCAAAAGAATGGCCGTGAACACGTCGACAATACGCACTGGGAAGTCATCGATCCAGGTCGGTCTGACCCGCCCAAGTGGCTCATCCCGGTTGAAGCGGAATGAGTAATAGCCAGAGCGGATCCAGACGGTTGAAGCCAGCGCAAACACCGACTTGAAACCAAGCCCCTTCTCTCCGCTATGCCTTCGGCCGTTGCCCTTCCTTCCACGACTGTTGGCCTTTGAGCTCTCGGCCATGCTGCATATTGCCTTGGCGTGCTTTTTCTTGAAGCCCAACTCGTTCTGTGCAACTAGCAGACGGCGATGTAGCGGGTCATATTCCATGAGGAGTTTGGGGGCGTCTGTCACCATAGTCGTTGTCATCGGCATTTAGGAAAAGTTCGAGAATAAAATCTGAAGGCTCAGCAATTTGTTCCTCGCACAACCTAAGCAGGTAAGGTAATCATTCCAGTCAGCCGCAGGGTGAGTTCAGGTTGCTTCCATTGACCTACTTTATTATGATGTTTTGCACCATTGTGCTTTTGGCGAACGTTTCGAGTTCTGCTCTGATAGCTGCGATATCGGTCATAGCCTCCTCTCGTGATTTGGGGAACTCGTCGTCAGCGTCGGCTTCCGCCGAGACATGAAGCCAGTACTCGATGGTTCGCCTTGTGAAGCGCCAGGTGTATTGCTTTGTCCGCACGTGTACTCCGCTCCGTCGGGTGACCGCGCCAGGCAACTTGGAAAGTTGATGCTCGAGGAGCCGAAGTGAACTCGGAACGGAGACTGTACTGTGAGCTTATGGAAATATGCCTGGTATGAGGCACAAGGCTCTGATAACGAACATTTCTCATAGGCTGCTTTTTGAGATGCCTACGGTACCTTACGCATGTAACGGCACCGTCTTGCAGACCAAGACCCCTCCTGCTACTCCTGTTGGTTGTGTGCCAGTGTGCTTGGGCAGTGCTGGGGTTTGAATACGCCCAACCAGAGACGAACTCGGTTGCGTTTTGGTGAGAGTGGTGCTGAAGTACCTTTACGCCCAATCACTGACTTTTTTCAATCGAGTCGTGCAGACAGCTTGCATATGCAAGCGACCCTCCCAAGCAGCCCAAGGCGGACCGAGAGAAGATGAAGCTGAGAAGGACATGAGAGCGAAAGTAGGTATTTTCCCCTTATATGTACCTTTGTTTAGAAGGTTGCCAAGTTCCCAGTATTTGATAATTACAGGTCAACATCTTCTACCTGGACTCTGCGAGCATAACACACCTATTTTAGTTTTTCGACCCAAGGATCAGCTCCCCTGTCCACCGAAAACATGTTCTCCTGACAGTATATCCCATCGCATTTGGTCGTTTGATGTGGCCTCGTTGATGATCCTGGTCGGCGAGGCCGAGGAAACGCAATATCGACTCAGCCAGCGCTCGCTTCTCGAAATTCTTGTCGCTAGCCCCGTCATCGGTCTGCAAAACTACATCCGGTCCCACGACTTTCTCCTTAACCCGCCCTCCCGCACCTACTTCTCGCCGTAAGGCTGCAAACATGCGCCGTTGCGGAATGCTCGTCTTGACAACGCGATCACACTGCGCGGAATGCTTGAAGACGGACGATATTCCGTGTACCGGGTTCGGGAGCGCGCCCAGAGGCGAGCCAAACGCCGAGTGACGTTTTACAAGGCGCTTTGGGTCGGCGTCACCTGGCTTTGTTTCCTGGTGTTGCTTGCCATTCTGTTGCTGTCTGATTGCACGACATGGATCAGGGTCACCAACTGCGTCGCGCTCACCACTTGGTCGATATGTCTCAGAATGGTCGAAAACTTGTTCATCCGGCCTGCGGAGGTAGCACGTGGCACCGTGATAAGAGGCGATTCGCCTGACGCCGTCTACGTCCTGGGGAGGGACAACTCCGCCTTTGTCCTCGAAGGAACCCGCCAGCAGATCAAGGAGTGGTCGACCCGAGGCCTACGCTACGGCCCAAACCTCGATATTTTCCACGGTGTCCTATCCCTGCGCCGGTAATGCAGAACACAACGCGCCTCGTCTCGTTTCTTCTTCTGGTCATGGTCTTCGTCACCACGTCAAACAGCACGACAATGGACCAGGCTGCGTTTGTCCTCCTGAATGTGCTGGGTCAAGTGAATTTGCATGTGGGCCGCATGCTGAACAGCTTGGACTGCCTGACGCCCCTCGAACGGCTGGACGAAAGCAAGGACTCTGTCATCTGCCGCACCATATCAATGCACTGTTGATTCGGAAATTCAAGGGAGTCAGGAATGGAGGAAACGATTGGGTCACTGCCGCCGGCTTGTTGCCTTTCACGCATGTCTGGAACGAGTGGCGGCGTCGTGTGGTTAAGGATGAATATTCAGACCCGAAGCAGGTTTACAAAGAGGTGGAAAAGGAACGTGAGATTTTTCTTGATGGGGATACGCTCGGTTCGAAAGACGCCGGAGATACTGGAACCTCGGAGAAGGGGTGTCTAGGCTGACATGAGACTCAGCAGCGATCATTAACACTACTGTAGAAATGAAATTTGACGGTAACTCGAGGACGGATAACAGGGGCCGACCGCGAGCCTTTGGGCCGCAGGAGCCCACAGCGATAGAAAAAGCCGCCAACACAATTGCAGTTTGGACGGGAAGGACTGCCGACACGGACAGAGTCATGGAGGAGGCCTGGAGAGAGAGGTGGCTCAAGGAACGAGACGGCCGGACAGCAACGAGGCCCGCAGATGACCTTGACCACCAGCACGAGACTCTGTTCCAAGACAAAACCCTAAGGAGACACGACGGCCTCAGCAGAGCGAAGAGTTCACTGTTGATCCAGATTCGAACCGGGGCCATAGGCCTTCGGGCTTTCTTATTCGAAAGGAGAGTCCCAGAGGTACTGACGCCTATATGCGAGTGTGGAGAGGGGCGAGAGACTGTCGAACACCTTGTGATGTGGTGCTTGGCCCCACCGTTGACTCGAAGATGGGAGAGAGCCGAAATCAGAACGCGAAGGGACTTTTATTCTGTCCTACAGGGAATCAGTCCCAAAGCTGCACGGGTAACGGGGAGGATCCTGGACTGGCTGATGGACTCGGGGAAACTGCCGATGTACGGTCTGGCCAGGAGGCTGGAGCTGGAGCTCGCAGTCTGATACCCTTTCCTTCAAAGGCCAAGAGGCCTTCCCACTTTGTATTTGCAGGATCGCACACTGATCGTTTCCTTGATTGTCGATACGGGTTTTTCACCCGGCCCACGATGGCGCGGTTTTCCTGTATAGTAAGTTGTTGAAGGTCCGGCACGCCCTAGGGCACAGCGGTGTAGGAATAATAATAATTTGACGGTAGTTTACTACTTTGCCAGTAAATGATACCAACCGCTGCCCTTGAATTGAACCCAAACAGCATCCACATGAGGTTCGGTTCGGACCCTCGGTCCATCCCAATCCAATCACTCCTTGATCTCTCTCTTGTGAAACACACCTGTAGCAAGCAACGATTAGAGCCTTTGTCTGCCACATCCCTTGCACGCCAGTCCTGCAGTCTGAAGCATACCTTCAAGCTCGGGCATCCAATCTGGTCGATTCTTGCAAAAGAACTCGCCCTTGGGCGGAACCTTCTCAGGCTCGTCGAGCGATCCCCACATGATGTAGCGGAACTTGTCGGCTGCCTCTTCCTGTCCACTTCGTCAGTGCCTAAAGGTAGCCCTGAGATGCATCACCGACAACATTCGTACACCATATTCGCAGATATAAGCCCCACAACTGTCGCAGAACTCTCTCGTCACGCCGTTTTTCTGCTTGTACATCTTTGGCGAACCGTTCTCATACTTGAAGGCCTCCAGGGGAACCTTCGCAGTCAGGCCGTAATTTGTGCCAAACGCGCGGCGACAACTGGAGCAGTGACAGAGCGTCGTGCGGGCGGCCTCCGGTGAGTTGAGATGGAGCGAGTACTGCAGCTTGTTGCAGACGCAGCGCCCTTGCATATGAATGGCCATAATTTGTTGTTGCTCTAGGAGGTAGTGAGTCCGGGGTTGAGCGGCGAAATAGGCTCGTCTTATGGCGATCTGAAGGGATAAATCGCGTTGAATAAAACGGGACAAGAGCATACTTGTGTTGCCGTTCTCGCGCTTTTGTTGTTTTCACTCAGGAACTCGAAGATCAAGATGGTCGGGATTTCCTGGTGATTCGCCGTAGTTAGTTCCTGGCTGAATATCAGTGACGTCACCATACAAAGCCGAACTGCCTTCCCCTTTCCCACCATTTTTGCAAGGTCACATTAGTCCATGGATTGATGGCTAGAAATGATACATTCTGGGGGATGGCCTCAACAAGTTTAATTTATCCTCATTGCTGACTGATGTCGAGGAGTAGCATACCATGACTGGGCCCCTTACAGCCAAGGGACTCACTCGATTCAACTCCACTCCAACTTAACGGAATTACAAAACCCTCAAATACTAACTCAACTTGCCGCCTACAACTTCAAACAAGATTTGTCGATAGATTTGAGGTTGATTTGGTTATTTGCCAAGGCTTACTTACTAGCTGAGCCACGGAGATGTCTCTCTCAACACCAGTACAGGGTTCTGCATCTATCCACTTCTACCCACGCGACCCTTGAAGTAGATAGAATAGATGGATTAGTCAGCTGGACTGAGATAGAGTTGATAGAATAGAGAGCTATTCTATCAACTTAGATACTATTCACGTAGATTGTTCATGCTTAGCGGATGAAAGATGTTCCGATAACAGGACGCTCACGACAGCCGAACACTTCTACCTAGCCACAAGCCGGTCACCTCATGCTATGCCACCTTCAATTTGAAGTAACATTCCATCCTCAAGCGCTTCAATGCCTGCATCTCGGAGGGCGGCCGATTTCGTTATAATCATCCATCAATCCGGCTTTCACCCACGATCCAATCGTCTGGGCGGCAGAGATCACTTCAGTCCCGAGCCGTGTCTGTCGTGTCGTTAGCATGCAGCCAACAGCGGAAAATATTCTTACACACTCGGCTGCCATCGGCGGGACGTTGAGCACGTCAAAGGCCATCTTTGCCAATCGGGAATATTCGAATCGGCGGTCCACCCAGTACTTGATGGGGTCGGCCTTTGAGGTAAGGTATCTCCCCTCGATTGAAAGAAGCCAACGATCCAGTTCCTTAATTCTTCACGCTCCTTCACCACAAGGGGCGAATGTATAGGCGTTGTGTGTTACATGTTTAGTTGTTCCGGTGAGGGATACACAAAGCGTTTGGCATGTTCCTCATCTACTCGTTGACTGCCTCGGAACTAAGAGCTATCTGCTAGTGTCTTATGAATACGGGACATCAGATTATCTACTGACAGCTCTCTTTCTTCCAGCACTTACATCATTCAACACTAGCCAGGGGTGGATGGATGGCAGAGCCAGGCACGCGGGAAGGTCACATGTGACCTGTCACATGACCAAGCCCGGCCAGCATGGGTGGGATACAGCGGAAGAGGTCGGAATGGCATCTCCGTAGAGGGCTTAGGGGGCAGTGGTGGCTAGGGCGGCCTCGAGGAGGCTGTGCGAGGTAAAGTGCCCAGATATTAGTAATCACTTGGCAATCTACCCACTTTGAATCTACGTAGATGAGGTTCGGGTAGAGTGGATAGAAGCTTGGCAACGGGCAGCATAGAGTGGATAGAAAGCACTGCTTTCTATCTACTAGTAGATTCAAAATCTACTTAGGTAGATAGATGCAGAACCCTGCACCAGTACCGCCACCAACAGACCGACCCTCCCGTCGCCCACACTTGACAGGATCTTTACAGCTTGGCCGCTTGGCGGTGCAAACGGAGCTAGTTCGACTCTATCTTCTATCGCCAACTTCAGCTGGGCGGAGTTCTGACTCTAAGTAGATGTTGAAGTTGAAGATTGGTGGACGTTGTGGCTGCTCTTCCACCAGCCGATGGACAGGCCGCAGCAGAAGTCGCCAACGAACATTGTTATCAGACTGTTCACCTCGAAGTTGCTCATGATGGCCCGGTACGCGGCATCGTGTGCGGTAAACATGATCTGGTGCCAAAACAGTCCCAGGAACACTGTTGACGTCAAGTACCATATCCGACCACAAGGCTGCCATGCAGGTGCCAAAGAGCGTCATGTAACGAGCCATCTCTTTTGCGTATTTCGCATGTAGACATTTGTAGAACCCCCTCGTCGTGAAGTTTCTGATGTAGTACCCTGTATTTCTGGGCGAGATTGTCGATATGGGTTTTTCATCCGGCCCATGAGGGCGCGGTTTTCCTGTATAGTGAGTTGTTGAAGGTCCGGCACGCCCTAGAGCACAGCGGCGTAGGAATACCGATATTTCTGGGCGATGTCTTGCTGCACCGCCGGGTCCAGTGACGGAAAGCGCAAGCTGTCCGTGTCGGTTTCCTGCTTCTCGGCCCAATCTGTGTAAGCGTCAGCATCACCATTGATATCTCTGGCTGTGACGTTGGGCCGGGTGGAGGAATCGACGGACGCGGCAATTGGTGTAGGCTGTACTTCATCGTCTTGCCGTTTTTCGTAGATGCCTCCCCGAATCGGTGGCGTCATGTTGGTCCATGTTCCGGGCGGTTTCCGACCGATCCGGAAGGCCTTCATGATTTGCCATGTGGCTGGCGTGTGGTACCCGCATGGATCTATGTCAGTATATCTGATTGCGTTCCTGCGTCAGGACCTTGACGAAGGGGCAGGTCCAGCTTACGGCTTGATCTCCTCGGTTGTGGTATTGAGGTGCAAAAGAAGGTGTGCTGACACTTTGCGAAGTGAGACAACAACGAATGGACCAGAATGAGTGGGGAAATGAAGGGCAAGAGGAAGAGCACAAGCCGAAGTGAAGTACTGAACAAAAAAAGCGTTACAGACAGTCGCACTTGCCGCCAATGAAAAAGATACCCGGCAAGCGGAGTCTGGCAGGACACGTACGCGACACAATCCAGCTTTGCTGGCTGGCTTTCTATGGCTTTCGAGACCTGTGAAACAAGATGAGATGCTCGATAAAGGGGGAACGAGTCCACGATGGCGTACCGCCAAGTATGCCAAGGCGGCCAGAACAAGATTTCAGGCCAGGCAATGCCCAGTGTTACCCTTCTAGGTAGGTTCTTTGTAGTATGTGATACAAGTGATTCAAGGCGCTAACATGCAACTGTGACGACGTTGAAAGAATGTGTGATGCAGCGTCTCTCACTGAAGTTGGAAACCAAGAACCCATGACAAAGTCATTGATCCTTTGGTGCAGTGGGTCCCGCACATCCACTTGATGTAACCTCCAGGTTTGCTGCGCCTTGGTCCTGGTGAATCTCCTGGAGTCCAGACCGAAGCTGGAACCTGAACCCATTATCCGTACCTGAACGACGGGAGGTTGACGTATTCTACTCAGTACTCCGTACAGGACATTGTCGATTTCCAGGATGTTGGTTCAAATTTGACGGCGTATTCAGGCTGGGAGCATTGCCAGTGGAGCCCTGTTTTGAAGGGAGCTGAATCCAGCGTTCCTAACAAATCAAACTATTTAAATCAAATTCAAATCGAATCGAATCAAATCAAATCAAATTAAGGTATTTTCAAATCAAATCTGCTAGCGGACAGATTTGATTTGATTTGACTAAGTTTGAGTATTAGTAAGGGTAACGTTAATCCACTTGGCCATAACGTTATTAGGTACTGTATAGAGTTTATGTAACCCCTGGCCAATAAACTTGGGAATTTCCAGCCGAACTTTTGCATGGGCCTACCACCATCACCAATATGGCCGAGCTTGACGACCGCTTTTCCGACGATTCGTCGTCGGAAATGAGCCTGACGCCTAGCCAATCGGCCAGTCAGTCGGTTAGCCAGTCTTCTGGCTCGTTTACGACTTACCACACGTCGGCGGCGACGCGGTTTCCACTCTGCGGCGAGCTCGAAGTGTAAAGGACCAACTCGAGGTTATCGACGAAGCCAACCTGCCTGCCGAAGTCAGTCAGTTACCTAAGATTTGGATACACGGGAAGCCATATATCAAGACAGAGTGGTTACACAAGAAGCGAAAGAGGCGGTCAAAGGTGGATGAGTATGGCGAAAGATACGTCAAGCTCGACAGGGAGAATAGGAGCCTTGGAGAGTACTGGCTGTGCAACCTCTGTGTGCAACAGGGCAAGACCTCGCTGTATGCCACCACCAACGGCGCTACAACGAATGCCAAATCTCACCTTCAGAAGGACCACCGTTTGCTGATCGGCATCGAGAGCTCTGACGGAGGCAATGGGGCCGACGATTTGGAGCCTAGTTCTCGCCGTCAGAAGACTCTGCAAGAGAGTTTAAGGAAGGCGCTCGTGGCCAAAACAACAGGTCAGCTTTTCAGGCATACGTTACTCGGCTGGCTAGCCGGCGCAAATATCCCGCTCTCTGGAATCGAACACCCTCTTTTCCGCCAGCCCCTTTGCCTTCTCAATAAGTGTCACGGGTAGTGACAGTTGCGCCCACCCGTGACAATAAGGATCTTCTACAGGAGCTCCTGCCATACAACGGCGATACCGTCAGGGCGTGGATGAAGGCTGAGTTTGAGACTGAGAAAGAGTACGCTCTCCTCGGTATTACCGTCCACTTCGTCGACCACTCACTCACAGCAGCTTCAATTTCGCCTCCTAGCGTTGAAAGGCATTTTGGGAAGCCACGGGGGCGGTCCGGTCCTACGGGGCATAATTGAGGATTTCGCTCTTTCCGAAGCTGTCGGTTACTTAACCGCCAATACCGCCGATTCGGGTGATTCAGCAGTGAGAGAGCTATTTCAGGCCCTTCTCCCTCATGACGACTTTGTTCCTGACCT